AAAGAAAACAAAAACAGTTTAATCACCTTGAGGAAATTTTCACAATCTTAATATACCAAATGGCCTGGGGCAATAAGGAAAAGAAATGTATCTGTCAAGCTTATTAAGACAAAAAGAAAATTAAAAAAAAACGTTTGTACAAATTTAAAATGTCATCTAAAATACTTACCTTGGGATTACAAAATACAAATATATGAAGGCAGTACCAGATTTACCTATAGGCTCAACAGGTTCAAACCTGGGGCCTCAAATTCTAAAGGGTTAGAGGTTAGGGTTAGCCAAGGTGTATAATATTTTTAACACTGTCACAGGCCTTTCTTACAGATGCTGTCATAATGCATTGTAGACTGAATAATACTTCAGTAATTTTAAACACCTGTTACCATTCTTGGTTTTAGTCAAATTGTTTAATTTAACACTCTTCTGTTTTCCTCTTCTTGTGAGAAGATGGGGATTTGCAGGGGCCTCACACATAGAATAGCCCAGGGCCTTTCATCATCTAAATTCTGCCCTGTCTGAGGGTAAGCTAGAAATTATTTGCACTTTAAGCATAACATATCTTTACGTTTGTCACAATGCCTTCTGCTCATTTTGCTTCTATTGTGGTAATGTGATTGAAGTTTGAGCTTGAATGCACCAGTTTTCTTGCTGCTGTTACAGTGTAAACATGGCCACTTTGTTAGCAGTGTGCACCAAGGAGGACCAAAGAGTAGTAATCTGAATCTGCAGAGAACATGATACCTCATCGATGATAACACAAGTTTTCCATTATCATCTTTCAAGCTTGCTGCATCTTCTCATTAGTGGAGGAGGTTTACACACATCCTGGTCATTCTTTAGGCATCATGGTTGCCCAGCCACTTTTAAACTTCTCCATCCACTCATACACACTTCTATGCAGTAAGTGCTTTGACACACCATCTGACCAGAGAAATTGAATCACTTCTCTTCTGTGGTGCACACTGCTAGCAAAGAGGCCATGTTTATACTGTAACAGCAGCAAGAAAACTGGTACAATCAAGCTCGATCACATGACCACAATAGTACCAACAATAAGCATGCATGAGCAGAAAGCAGTGTGACGAACCTCAAGATATGTTACGGCAAAAATGTGGATAATTTTTGACTTGCCCTCGTACATTAAAATGCACAAATCTAAAGTAACCACTCAGTATCCTGTTGTATTTTAAAAAAATAATTCATTACTCTCTTGACAATAAAAGTATAAATAAATAGTAGAAAATCATATACAAAATTAACAGAGTAGTCTCCCCTTAACCATAGGAGTTTATTTTCATGGCCTCAACAGAGGCTGAAAACTACAGATAGCAGTGTGCCATATATATATATATATATATATTATATATTAATAATACAATATGGTAACCATATGGAATTTCCAGGAGGTTATAGATCCAGGGAGAACTCTATTTTGAAAGAGAGAGCAAAATTATTATTAATTATAGAATATCAAACACTTAAAATCCCACAGGTAATAATTTTTATTTCATGAGAGCTCTGAAAAAAGAAAAAAAAACAAAGCTCTTAGATTATTTACCTATGGGATTTTAAGTGTTTGATATTCTTTAATTAATATATATAATATATATATATATATATATATATATATATATATATATATATGTGTGTGTGTGTGTATATATATATATATATATATATATATATTATAAATTAACTGATTTAAAATATTTAAAAGCGAAGAAATCATATTTTATATCAGTTAATTTATAATATTTATGCTCTGTAAATTTACATTGAGCACTGTTTTGTAAAAATAAGAATATCAATAAGAACACTGGATTATATATCTTACTGTTCTTTCTTTTTATCATAATATATATATATATATATATATATATATCAAATAACAATCAAGATAGTGTACAGCCAGAAATACTGTCAGTCAGGGAAGGACATTTAAAGCAAACGGTCTTTGCAATAAAGTGCTCAATATCAGAGATAAAACATTATAGGAATAATAAAAATAACATTTGTATATTTTCTAATATATCTCCTAGCTAAATGACAAATTTTAATATTATATATATATATATATATATATATATATATATATATATACCTATATATTAAAATAAATTTATAAATTAGACAGCATAAGAGATTAACTCATAATAAAATAAAACAATTATAAGACTATTTTCATGGCAACTATTCTGACAAAATACATTCCTTCGTTCCACCAACCTTGGCCTTTGCTGTTGGGACCTGTCATGTCACATACACAAAGAAGAATCATCTTCATTCCCTTTGTATTTCATTAGTAAGGAGGAAGTTCCACTGGGGCAGTTTCTTCCCAAGAACTGCCACTTTTTGGGACTGATTTCGGGCAGGATGTTTTCACTCATTACTACAATCTTTGAGTCTAACTGTTCTCTTTTCAACATAATTTCATGAACTGCACTTCTTGCCTTTTCTTATGCTAATACAACATCGCACAGTAACGATCTGCCTTGAGTGGCTCTTGGGCCTTGTATTGGGTTAATATTATTATACAAAAAGAACAATATACTGTAATAAAAATACATAGAAAGTACACAGTAATAGCAGTTTCAAGGGAATATGTTTTTGCAGGCCCAAAGGTTAAACATTGCCAAATATTTATAGAAAAGGTACAGGAAAGCTACGTTATGGTGGTGGGAAAGTGACTGAAGCAGAGATGTCAGGTCAGGACCAATAACATTGCAGATTCTTTGTATTTTATCAAGAATATCTAAATAATCAGATGTGGCAGCAATATTCAATATTTGGGCTGCCCCTCTCAAATGAAGCAGGGATGCCAATTTATAGCAGAAGGAGTGAGGTACTTACTGAAGAAGTACAGGGAACTGACCATTTTTCCAATATCTTTCACTAAAACTATTTCTACACACACACACACACACACAAATTTAATCCTTGTATACTGAACCTTTTAGGGTTGCTACTCAGGTTCAATAAATCTGAACCCCTGATACTTAACACTTATAGCCATGAACTACTTAACACTTTGATGTCATTAGTCACATTGGTTGAACTATGGCACTCACAACTTTTGATGACAAAATCTTATGATCATCAATTTTTGATTCAAAAATTAGTATGCGTGATTACATGATAATAATCAACCAATCAGATAGCAAAAATTACTCTGCCTGAATACAGGATCATAATCAACCAATCAGATAACAAAAATTACTATGCCTGATTACAGGATCATAATCAACCAATCAGATAGCAATCCGAGTTACATTTTTTTTTCCATAAAAAAGAAAGAATTCTCCAACTCCAGTCAAATGCAAAACAGATCCTGACACAGCCACATGTCTCTCAATCTCAGTTTTAACTGTTGAAAATCTAAAAAATGCAAAGTTGGTAAAGGTACTCTAAATAAATGAAATATTCTTAAACTCCACTTGCATTTTCAACTTCTTTTTCCTATATATCTAAAAAACTCAGTTTTACTTACCTTTTCCAACAAGCAGTGTACATTGTTGGTGGGCTGATCTAGAGCGAGTTGTAACACACACCACAGTGACTCGATGAATCTGGTAAAAATAGAAATAACTACATTAGCAAAAAATAAATAAATAAATAAATAAAAAATGAAAACTGGAGTAAAGTGTTGTACAAGTAATCTCCCCTTTTAAATTTAGCAATGGCTACTATATCTAAGATTAAAAGTGCCATTTTAAATAGATATTGACTAAGATTATAAAAAAAAACATAGATGCTTCATGAATCTAAACAAAGCAGAGTAAACTACTACTTCTATGTATTGTGTACATTCAGGATGTGGACAATTTTGGATCTCCTCATCTTCCTGTCCTTGGTAATTCTTACTAAAGAATGTCTTTTTGCTTACCTCTGCCAATCAATTACACAAGCTCATTAGGTAGGTTACGTGTTCGCCTGTTTCTCTTGCCTTTTATATTTCCCTCTTCTTTTCAGGTAGTTCTTGTACTTCTTTTTTTTATTAATCATCTTTGTACTTCTGTTTTTACAGGTCATCTTTATACAGCCATCTTTATTGGCCATCTTCATACTTTCCTCTTTTTACTGGCCATCTTTGTACTTCTAGCTTTATTGGCCATCATTAAACTTTCCTGTCAGCTGGCTAACTCTGTACTTCCCTTTATTTTACTGGCCATCCTTGGACCTACCTCCCTTTATTTTACTGGCCATCCTTGGACCTACCTCCCTTTATTTTACTGGCCATCCTTGGACCTACCTCCCTTTATTTTACTGGCCATCCTTGGACCTACCTCCCTTTATTTTACTGGCCATCCTTGTACCTCCCTTTATTTTACTGGCCATCTTTAAACTTTCCTGTCAGCTGTCCATCTTTGTACTTCCCTTTATTTTACTGATCATCTTCATACTTTCCTCTTTATTGGCCATCTTTGTATTTCTCACTGACCATCTTCGTACTTCTGCATTTAGTAGTCATCTCTGTACTTTGATTTTACTGGTTATCTTTGTACTTCCCACTTCTTTGTGGGACGTCTTCGTACTTACTCCTTTGTTGGACGTCTTCGCACTTACTCCTTTTTTGGACGTCTTCGCACTTACTCCTTTGTTGGGCAGCTTTGTACTTATTTATTAGCTATTTTAGTACATACTACTTCATTGGTCACCTACATACTTCCCTTTAGTAATCACTTCTCAATTCGCTTAATGAATCCTGTCTTTCTTTCATTACACTGAAGATCCCCCCACCATTATATACACATCAAATGAAACAGAAATTAAAATTTAAATGATAAAGACTCATCCAATAGTGCTTACCTTTTTCGAGTCAACATTTTCCAACAAAGCTTTCGTTCTCTCATTACCCTTGATCATCGTCTTAAACTCGCCATCAACAAAAATCTGGTAGGAAACGATATCTGTATTTCGTGGGATCTCTGGGGCCAGCCAAGAGATGAGTAAACTGTTTGTTAGTTGGCGGTCTAAGTTGAGTTTTCGTGGAAAGAAAGACTCTGAAGACAGAGAAAAGCAGAAAGATCTTGTCAGAATTGATAGAAGTCACACATTATATCATATCATTTATGTCAGGTCATTTTATGCATGCCAATGGTACCAGGCAATTGAGTACTACCAGCTGCAGAAGATGGAAAAGAAAACAGAAAAAAAAAATGGTGAGAATTTCGATTCCATTTATTTCTATTTCAGGAAAAGTAAATGCCTTAAATAAAATGCTAATAGATGAGCCAATAGTTCTTGAAATCAACAAACAGTTAAACAATGTCTATCCTCATGGGCCCGAGAAAAGAAATACTTGTTTGCATGCAAGAAAAATATAATAAAAATCTTTAGAAAATACCTCATCAGTCTTTAAGTATATATATATAAATATTTGTATATATATATATATATATATATATATATATATTATATATATATATATATATATATATATATAATATTTGTATATATATATATATATATATATATATATATATATATATATATATATATATATATATATATATATATATATATATATATATATATATATATATATATATATATATATATATATATATATATATATATATATATATATATATATATATATATATATATATATATATATTTATATATATATATATATATATATATATATATATATATATATATATATATATATATATATATATATATATTATATAAAAATTGTGTATTTGAGCAAATCTTTTTCTTTTACATAAGTTTCATTAAAAATGACTGACACGGTACTGTTGTTAATATTTTAATTTAATTTTTCTTGTGTTATAATTTCCTTATTTTCTGGGAATAAATTATGTAGAAATTGTCCAAATGTTCTGTAATTCCTTAGTACTTTCATCTATACTTTTAGCCATTATCAGGGATGATTTTATTTTTACTTTTAACAGAATGTGTGGATTTTTTATTTATTTATCTATAGTTATGGAAATGTTTTTATTTTCCAAAACATGGACAGCACATTGTGGCAGTGTTCATAGATGATGTTATTGGCTTTTTCTTTTTTATTATTAATGCTTCCCTTAATTTTAGCCATTTTTTTTTTTTTTACCTGTGGATGAGGCTATAATATTTGTATTATCAATGATTATAGCAACATACTGGTTGATAATATAAATATAATAGCCTCATCTACATATAAAACATCAAAAAAAAAACATTCCTATAACTCTAGATACATATATAAAACAAATCATACATTAAGTTACAAATAAAAATAAAACTATCCTTGATAATGGCTAAAAACACAGCTAAAAGCACTTGGACAATTTCTACATAATTTATGTTCAGAAAAAAAGAAAATTATATGAACACAAGAAAACTTAATAAACAAACTTAATTGCAGTACATTGTCAGTTGTTTGTAATAAAACTTGTGTGTGTTACTATATTATATAATCAATTCAACCCAAGCAACGTGATAGTGCCACTAAGATGCAAGAGGCTACTGAGAGTGAAAGAGAATGAAAAAGATTTCAGAAGGAACCAGAAACCCAATTCAAAATAAAAAACAAAGGATAAACCTCTACTCCAGTTCAAAAGACCAGGGAAGTATGTAAAGCAGATGAGGTAAGCCAATCTACTCTATATATATATATATATATATATATATATATATATATAAATAAAAAGAAAGAACAGTAAGATATATAATCCGGTGTTCTTATAGATATAGCTTTTAGCTTCCATTTTTGAAACATGGTTAGAACTGTGTAGCAAGAAAAAAAAACATATTTTAAATAAATCAATTTATAATATATCTATATCTATATATATCTATATATATATATATATATATATATATATATATATATGGATGGAATAGACGGAGAATGGATAGCAGTTTGAATTGAGAAATTGGAGAGCCACATTTGAATACCAGTTGAGTTTGTTACATTTGCTTATGCAAATACCCTTGGGAAAGGTATGAATCCATCTCTTCTCTCCCCATCTATGGGTAAAAAGACAGACAGACTGCATTCTTTAGCCTTGGGTGCCAACCAGTCAAAAAGAAGAACTCGAAATTCAAAAACTGAAGTGGGTCATTTGGAGGACCTTGTGGCATACTAGGTGCACAAATTCTTTGTATTTGGGTCTTCCAAAAAGTGGGGTCAGTACTGCACAAACCTTCACCACTATAATCAAATTATATGTGCAAGCAGTCTCATTATAAGTGATTTTCCATACCCTCATATATTAAAAGTGATGGAAGAGTCCAGGATATATATATATATATATATATATATATATATATTTCAATAAATCAAGAAAAATTCAAGACTTACCTGATTGACCAACTAAAAGAGAAATAAAAGTATTGGATTAAAAATCCATTGAAATTCTAGAAATTATACTAAGATATGCATAAACACCAATAGACACTAATGTGTGTGTGTGTGTGTGTCTCTCTCTCTCTCTCTATATATATATATATATAATATAAATTACATAGAATAGAAATTCAAAATTACCACATTTGAATAGCTATTTTAACTTACAAGAGCTTCCTTGCAGGATTTTTCAACACCAAGGACTGAAGAAATAAAATATTAGCTTAAAAATCTTAACCTTTAAAGAATAAAGAAAGAAGAAGAAATATATATATATATATATATATATATATATATATATCCAAATAAGAGACAACAGATGGAGTAAAAATCCACTGTTCATAGCATTTATTTTTAAAAAGTGCTCAATACAAAAACAGCAAAAATATTATATTTTTATTATAATACATTATAATAAAAACATTTTACATCGCTACAAAAAAGCTTTGATGTTTCAATACTATGATTGTACTTCATCAGATGATGGTAGATGACTTATGATAAAAAATGATTTATTACGGAAATTTAAAAGCAAATCGTTAGCTCTTTTCGGAAGTTAAGGGAGCCATAAGGTCAGATAATGATTTGTTTTTAAATTTCTCTAATAAATCATTTTTTATCACAAGTCATCTACCTTTGCCTGACAAAGTACAATCATAGTACTGAAACATGAAACCTTTTTGTAGCGATATAAAATGTTTTTAGTATAATCCATTATAATATATATATATATATATATATACAAACATACAGGTAGTAATCTATTGGTATAATCCAGGTGAGTCCTATTAACAAAACATTGAATTTGAAATATGTTAAAACTGACTCACCAAAGAACGCTCAATGTTTATTTTCATTAAACAGAGAAAAATGTCTTTACATTTGGAATTAAGACACCTTTCATTAATGGCCATTTTCACCTACAAATTTGCAGGATTTTTCAAACGGTTTACAGTATCAGGGTGTAGTGGGAGATATATATATGTGAAAAGTGTGTGTATATAAATATATATAATTATTTATATATTATATATGCGGTACTTATTAGAAAGCACTCAATATCAGAGATAGAGCTAACATATTTGGTTGGATAGACACATCAATCCAACCATATATATATATATATATATATATATATATATATATATATATATATATATATATATAGGATGTAGTGGGATACTACACCAGTGTATCCCACCAAAAATGATGCCATAAACAGTTTGAAAAATCCTGCCAATTTTAAAATTAAAATTTGTAGGTGAAAACGGTCATTAACTAAAAGGTATCTTAATTCCAATTGTAAAGACATTTTTCTCTGTTTAATGAAAATAAACCTTGAGCACTCTTTTTATGCACAGGTACTCTGATATACAAAATATTATATATATATATATATATATATATATATATATATATATATTATATGAGATTAACATGTTAAAAATTGCTACACAATAGCTTTCATATTTTAGCACTAGAGCTGTGGCTTCGAAATAACTGCTAAGTAAATTATTATTTTTAAATTTCAAAAGCAGAATACCCCCAATTTTTTTTTTTCACAAAAGAGAAGAGAAGAACAAAATAAAAGATCAAAATTAAAATCAAACTTTTAGGTTTACCCTGATAAATCAATTAGTCCAATTATAATCAATTAGATTGATAAACCAATTAAATCTATGCTAAATTAAAAAATAAACTAAAAAAAAAAAATTGATTTTAATCTCATATAATAAATAATATTAAGTTCTACTCTGTATTGAGCATGTTGTAAAAATTTAAATGCTACAGACAATGGAATTATACACCATTTGTTCTTATACCATATATATATATATATATATATATATATATATATATATATATAAGTGAACATTGAAGTCAACACTCAGAGGCTGTTCCATGAGTGTTGACTTCAATGTTCACTTTTATATTTATATTTACATATGCTCTATCTTTGATATTGAGCACTTTATCCTGTAAATATAGCACATCTTAAAACTATATTTCTTTATATATATATATATATATATATATATATATATATATTTTTTTCTATAAACTTTGTTTTATTTATACTATTTATATATCATGTGGACTATTGTCTGTATCTTTGCTGTTGCTATGACAATATTTTGGAAGTTGTGCATTCCAGTCTTCATCAGGTGTATGGCTATCTAGGTAACCTATAAGGAATTTTGAAACAAATCTTTTATTTAATCTATGAAGTAGATTGTTTTCACTCTATTGTCTATATCTAAGGATATCTCATTTAGTTCTTATTTTTAGTTAATAAGGTAAATATTGGTAATTCCTCATCCCAGATATTCAAAGAGAAATTTTATTATATATATATATATATATATATATATATATATATATATATTTCTATAGATAGATAGATAGATAGATAGATAAAAGTATTCTACAGCATACAATGCAAGGAAAAACTCAACACTCTAGAAGCCGTTATTATACAAAATAAACATCCTATATTAAATAAAATATCATTCACCACAGGAGACGGTATCTTCAAGTGCATATGACATAATTATATTAATAGATTTCATTATTATCATAACTATTATATTATTTAATATTGTTATATCATTATTATTATTATCATATATTATTATAATTAAT